GCCGCCGCAGGATCTCCGGCGGCTTCTCGGCGCGACGGGCGGGGGTCCCCACGGAGTCGGCTCTGGAGGGGAGCGAGGGGACAAGGTCGTCTTCCAGTCTCGAGTCCCACAGACGCAAGGGACCCCACCCCCGGGCACACTGGCTCTCCGTGACCTCTGTTCGTTTTCGAGGTGCCCGGCGTCCCGCACCCCACTCCTGGTCCTGAGCCGGAGGGTGGCCTGCCTTCCAGAACAACCCTCTGCGCTTTCCCCAGATTCAAATAAGGCTGCTTTTTATGACCACGGAGCAGTGGCAAGGAGGCGTATTTGCCAATTTTAGGTTACCAGTCCCTCACAACGCTGGGTCACATTCGACCCACTGCAGCACCCAACCCAAATCGCCATTTCTCTCCGTGCTCCAGAATGAATGTCAAATAAACACAATGCTGGAAGGTTATACCTTCAACAGGACCCCCCCCACACACACACACACACACGATACAGACGTGAATGAGGGCGGCCTGCCCCACCCCCTCCCCAAGGTCTCGGATTCACAATTTCAACGCTGTGTGCACCGGCGCACACATCTACACCTCAAAGGAGATCCAAATGCTCTTGGCGCTCCGGACTCCAGCCCAGAGCCAGCCTTACCCAGCCAGCACTATATAAATAACACCAGCCCTGCGGCAAACGGCCGCATTAGCATATTTTCTCCTGCGTGCGGGGCCTGACACCAGTGAGAATTATGCGGCTTTCATCCCAGCTTCACTACATTCTGGAGACATTTTCATATCCTGAGAAGTTTATTAATGGAATTAATGGAAATCTTAAATGGAGCAATCTATCTCCAGTCGTATTTAGCATGGGGAAGGAAGCAAGCATTCGCTTACTAAAAGCATATCCTTCGAGAACACGTATGGAATGCATTCTTTAAGCATCTCCATTATTTGCTCAGCTGCATGTTGTATAATTTAGTGGGAGACATTTCAAAAAAAAAAAAAAAGAAAGAAAGAAAGAAAGAAACCCGTGCTGCTCAACGTTCCAGGCAACATGTACTTACTGCTGAAATTCTGGCACGCAAAGAGAACTATTTCTGAAGACTGCCAGAGGGGGCTGGACCTTGGGAGACCCAACTGGGAACTCTCCTGAGTTGCTGGATAGGGGAGATTAGATAACAATGGGCGGAAGAGACGGGCTTCAGAAAGACACTAAAGGTCTGGGAAACCCAGTCTGGAAGTGTAAGCACATTTAATGACATATTTGAATGAGAACGTCATTGTGAGACCCATCACTTTGATTATAATCTAATAAAGTGTTATTTTAAAAGATCAGTTGGGAGTGACAGTGCATCCTGCCAATGCATATGATAATGTTCTTTTTTTTTTCCCTCCCCAATTTTACCTTATTGATTAGTTTTTTTTCTTTTCTCCCCTTCATTCTCACTTGAAGAGCTAATACGTAGGAAGTACTGACCCCCTCACCAGGACAGAGTCAGCACTCGATGAATGTTGTTAGACTTTTATTATTGGCTCCACCCATGACACACAACCTACATGTTCTTATCTGAACTGAAACGTAACAGGCTAGGCTTTCTTTTGTTCCCCTTCAGTGCTGATTCTTTGAAAGGAAGCCCTCTTGATGTCTAGTTTTGCCTCCTTTACCCATCTGCTCACTGGGACACTAGTTGATGTTTTGTAACTTATTGCAAAACACAGCCATTGGTCTCAACAATGGCTTGTCTAATTGAAATACTAATCATAGGGAACTTTGGAGGGATTTGCTTCCAGATCCACGGTCATTTGACCCCCAGATCCAGGGCTGAGATGAAGTGAGAGTCGGATGCCCAACTACCCGCTGGTTTTAGAGCCTCAGTCATCTCATTCCCAGTGTTCTTTCATTTCAACATGCAGGGACAGGGGCGTTTACCAGGATGTCTGTTTCAAAGGAGGGGCAGATACTTTGACTGGTAATCGCTTTGCTGCATATGTATATATCAAAACATCCTGTACACATTAAATGTATACAATCAAATAAAGTTTATATCCTTACAAAAAGTAAGGACTATAAAACAAAGTCTGTTTGCCTTTTTAAGAAAAGCTGTTTATTAATGTATGCTTTTAGGTGGGTGCATCCCTGGTCCGGAAGGGCCTTCATTTTGAGGCTCTTTGTTCTTATTCCAAAGGGTGCACTCTGAGATTTTGGAGACAAGCTGAAAAATAGTGCCCTCTCAAGTTGAAGCAGAAGGAAACTACCACCAAATGTTTGGAATTCAGCAGCAGAAGCAGCAGCCTCGACCCAGGCATTGTAATTAAGTTACTGATTAGATTAGGGGTTTCCCCAAATCCCTCTTGGATCAACATTTCTCCCAAATCTAGTCAAGAAGATTAAAATGTAACTAATTTAAAATAAACTGGCCTTCTATTTATTAAAATGTACCACAAATGACCTCTTGATGAGCCCTAGAACAAAAGGAGTAAAGCAGGACTGACATTCCAGAATGGAAGAAGGCCTCCAAGGTGAGTATTTAAAGGCCAGCCTGCTGGTACAGAGAGGCCCAAAAGATACCTGCCAGCAGCAACCCCGCTCCTAATTTTCCCCATGGCTTTTGCTATTACCTGCTGTTTGTTTTGCTTATCTATTGATTTTGCTACCTCCCACCTCCAGAATGGAAGCCCCTTGTGGTCCCCTTGCTCAGCTGTATTCCTGGGAGCAATAACAGTACCTGGTACATGTGAGATTCTCAGTACATACTTGTCGAATGACTGAGTGCACCCAGCTGTGATCATCTGATGAGCCCATCTATTCAGATCTACAACTGGCTTTACTTTGATTCTCGAGTCATTAAGCAAGCTTTTCATATTTGTTTAATCTCTCAAACATAGTGCTCAGCTGAGCCAACACAAGAATTCAGATGCACGTGACAATTGCATGCCTTGTGAGCTATTGTGGCTAATGGATTAGCTCCTCATATAAAGTTGTCTTTGGCTTGAAGATGAAGAGCAGTTCACACACTACATGCAAGGTTTCCAAAAACATCACTACCAGCATTTCAAAATGGAAGGACTGAACGTGTTTTTAAAATGTGTTTGGGAATTCTCCCGACACAGCAGAAGTCTGGCTCGTTCCTTGCCCTGTATTTGTGGGGCCATCCTCCCTTGAAATAGCAGGCAAGCGTTCCCCAGCTTGTCTTTATCCCTGCCTGGTACACATGCGCGTCATCATCCGGCCTCTGGAAGCATCTACATGTGAGTTCATGACCGTAATTCATATTAGCATCCTGAGTGCACTATTGCCATGAAGAAGCTGAGTCATCCTCTCTTCCTCTGACATTCTGTTAAGTAATCTACCACTTTGCAATTCCCCAAAACTGAGAAAATGAAAACATGATGCAACCTAGTTAGCAATATACTAGGATGATTTTCCCCCACTTTGAAATAGCAGGAGAACAAAAGTGACTTTTGGCTTACCTCTAAAATTGAGGGACACCCAATTTTTCAAAGTTATTCCCAAGGAATTGGTGTCAGAGTTAACTAACTCGTATCAGAAACCATGTCATACTAAACAGATTTCAGATTGTTTCCATGCATCTGTTCATTTTCTTTCTGTTTGAATTACAGGTGAGTAGATCACATACTGCATCATTCTTCTGTTTTATGGCAGCTTAATTTCTTCCCTTCAGAGGCTTGCTTGAAAGATAGGTTACCTTGCTTTCCAATAGTGTTCCCTTCTTGTGACGGGAGGCAATCCCAGCTATGGCTGTGCATATAGTATTCAAACGTGATTTTTTATCATCCTTTGGCTTCTGGAATGTCAACTCTTACTCTTTAACAGGGAATTTGACATTTACAAAACCTATCATAAATCAAAATGAAAAAGCTACTTTCATTCTCTGGCAGCAGAAGTAATAAAAATGTCACACAATCTCTCCCAAGGAAAGCTGTAGGTAATACCTGGAGAAGGAGCCACCTGCGTGTCTATGACAAACCAAATTCATCCTTCCTGATCCTAGATCACAGGAAAATAACAAAGTCTCCCATGCAAAAAAGCCACTCCACTGCCAGTGGGATCAGCAGGGCCCAAGTGCTTCAAGAAGCTTGGTGAAAACTTCATTTCAAACCAGGTGGGTGGTGGTGGTGCACACCTTTAATCCCAGCACTCAGGAGGCAGAGGCAGGCAGAGCTTTGTGGGTTTGAAGCAAGCCTGGTCCACAGAGCAAGTTTCAGGACAGCTAAGGCTATACAGAGAAACCCTGTCTCCA